TTTCACTAGATATCTATATCTACAGTGACGAATTTAGAAATGGTTCGGAACTATAGAAAAAGGGATGCAGACAGAACTAGATCCTATTTGTCGAATTTAGAACTATTTCGGAACTATCGAATAAGGGATGCAGCGGGGGGCTTGTTTACTTTACATAGATATGTGTTCGGCGGCTTTTTCGTTCAAATACGCTTCTATTCTGTGCTTCGCAGATGCTATTTCATAGTTTGGTAATACAAAACAAAGCTTTGTGTTAACATATTAACATCTTGGGGCCATCTGGAATCTAACCAATAACAGCGAGCACCTCAGCAAAGTCAGCTACAGCAAGGTATGTAAACGTACATTTCTTACAATCATTCAAACAAATTTAATTTCAAATTGAAAAAACGTTTCTTTGAAAATAATGTAAAATCGCACACGGAAGAACCGAAAAGATTGAAAAATCATGATACTTTTTTCTTTCGTCTGTCGATTTTAGAACTGGTTCGGAACTATAGAATTTAGGACTAGTTCGGAACTATCGAAAAAGGGATGCAGCGGGGGGCAATTGACACTTCCTAGGACATCGCCATGTTAAATTCGCCAGTTGCTTGCATACAAAAGAGATTTATCGCGAACCAGTACTGGGTCTAAATGTACTAGAAGCGCCCCAGTTCAGAACTAGAGATTTTCCCCACAGGGCGTATATGTGTGTGTGTGTGTGTGTGTACATGCATAAATGTGTATTCTTATCTTCATTGTATACATCCGATACCAATGCATTTTAAGTGCACTAAAATTTATGTGTCTTATGCAGAATCAGTAAATCCTAGTAAGAGATAAAAGACCAACGTATTGATCTTTTATATTTGTTTAGGTTCACTGTTGACTTAAGTGCATCTAACGCACGTATTAAAACAATTGATGATCGGCTGTCAGTTGCTGTTTGTGTGCATTGGTATATTGGTGTATGCGTGTTTCTTTCATACTTATATTATCTTTATGTTTTCTGTATACACTGTAATTTATGTATTTTGTTCAGATAAGCAATTTTCACATATTTTATGAGCAAGGGTCACATTACAATTCTATTGCTTATCATTGCATTTGACATTTAGTGGACTGTATATTTTTCCTGTTTATTTCAGCGGTTTACGTATGTTTGCATATGTATGTATGAATGTGTTATATTTCTAAAATCCTATCTCTATTGCGGCAGAGTTTCATGTTCATATTTTTATGAACATTCTGCCAAGGGCCAAAAATGTGTTGTTTTAACATATTAGCCAAATGTGATTGTTGACATTTTACTTAATTATGATTATGTCTAACTGGTAGTTCAAATGGAACAGCCACAACAGTTCTTTTTTACATTTTGATCTTATATATAAAATAACGATGATTAACCCTATTATGAAAACTAAAGTTAGCGAAGCATGACCACTAACGTGATGAAAATTGATACCCTTCAATTTGATATTTTCTTTTTTGACAAATTCTATTTGCTGTTTGAGTGCTAGGATATCTTTGGTGTTGTTTATTAAGGTCGAATCAAAAGGATTAATTCGCAGTTCTGAAATATCTTCGATGTCTTTTACCCAAGAAGAAGATAGCAATTCTTTATTGATCTCGGATTGTACGTGATGAGATGCTGTTAAAGTTACTCCTTCATGTCGAGCTGTACATCCTTCTCTTATTGTGATAATGCCTTGATTAGGGATTTCCATTCGCATTTGTTGGTTGTTATCACATTCTAGATGTATTGTTGATTTGCTTGTAAAGCTAACCAATTTGAGAAGATAATTTAATCCAAACATTTTCATTTGTAGCGGGCTCGAATCCACATACTTCATTCTCCAACTGTTTCAATGCTGCTACTTCGCATGAATTGTCCGTAGCTGACTTTCAAGCCCAGTTCCCTGGACATTGATAATGATCTTCCAAGTTTGTTAAACACTTATCTAGATCGACTTGGTTTATCAATACATATTGATTTAAATCAAACTTGTATACTAAATATTCTGCTTTTATATCAGGGATAATTATGTTCCCTTTGTATTTTATTGGCAGTGGATTTAATTTGTATGCATCTGACGGTTCATATGATATTAAGGGAATTTCTATGTTTATGACTAGTCGTGAATCGACAATTAACCCTTTAGCAGTCATCGACTTATAGATTTCTTTTAATTCATTACCGAACTGTTTTCCAGGTAGTACTAATTTGTGTGGCAGCTTGTTTCTGATAAGTGCAATTTCTTTATTAAGTTGTGAAGGTTTTATTAGTTTTGGATTTATGCGACCATGATTTATGTCAATTAGTAAATTGATTATCGAAGTTTGGATATCTTCACATTCGTCCATAACTATTCCTATTTGAATGGTTAATATCTGAAACATCAAGGTCATTCGCTCGGCATTTTGATCTTTAACTAGTTCATGATAAAATTTATTTAGCTGTTCATTAATTTTTTGAAAATTTTTGTTAACTTCATCGGTTGTCTTTTTTAATATACTTATTGTAGAATCAACTATTGATGTCTGTCTCTTAAACAACTTTGCGATATTCTTTTGGTTTTCGAAAATATTTTTAATATTTGATTCCATATTCTCTCGGTCGTCAGCATCCATAATTCCAAATAATATATGGTAAATTGAGCCAACAAATTCGAATGGTGCTCGTCTTTTTCTATTTTCTTGCTTCATGAACAGTTCGTTATTTGACTTAAGGCTATTATATTTATGCTTTAAAGTTGCGGTAATCATTACACAGGCCTCTTCATAATATGTCAATATTTTGCATTGATGTTCAAGTCTGTTAATAAATTCTTTTACTCCATCCATCCGATCATAATAGGAACCTAACTCGTAATAAACGATTAAATCCCATTTTGAATTTATTATGTCTATTTTGCCGATCGGATCCAAATATATTGCGGTATTATTTCTTAGCTCAGCCACTGAAGCTCCTGTTTTAGCCGTATCATTTATGTATAATGCCTTAACTTGCATTGCTAGCATGAGCAACGTAAAGAACCACATCATCAATGTCTTCGTTCTTTTCTGCCCCCCTGGGCCCGCTGAATTTTTTGCTATTCTTGATGTCAACAGGCTTGCAGCTTGATTTGGCTCTTCCGTTTTGCTGCTGTTTGTTGTCTCTAGTGGGCACAGTTTGTGAACGGGCCGTTTAACTATCCCATTTTGCAATTTCAGAGTTACAACTCTGGTTTTTCCATCGCTTCCAGGATGATCTTTTATAACTTTGCCTAATGGCCACTTTGCTGGATGACTTTCTTCATTTTTAGTTATTACTATTTGACCTACTGCTAGAATGTCCTGTTTGGTTTTCCATTTCATTTGTTGTTGCAACATTGTGACATATTCGCTTTCCCACCGTTTCCAAAAGTTTCTTTTCATTTTTTGTATTAGTTTCCACCTATCTAACGAACCCCTCGTTGTGTCATCAATTGCTTCAGGACAGTCTATTAATGGGCATCCTATTAAAAAATGCCCAGGTGTTAAAACCACTATATCGCTTTCACTATCGATCGCACATAAGGGTCGTGAATTTAGCACTGCTTCAATCTGTGATAGCAAAGTAATCATCTCTTCAAATGTCAATTTACTTTCGCCTATCACTCTTTTTAAATGATATTTCACTGATTTGACTCCAGCCTCCCAAATTCCTCCGAAGTGAGGAGCTGCCGGCGGCCCAAAATGCCATTGAATTTTGTCTGCTTCTAATATGGGAGCTACTGTTGAGTTTTTCTTGATTGCCTTTTTGAAATCTAAGTCTAACTTTCTACACTGACTCTTACCCCTTCTAGCAAAAAATCTTTTTAAAGCAGCTAGAAACGCTCCAGTTGTTAAATCACTTACTGCCTCTAAATGAATAGCCTTTGTTGCCATACATACAAATACAGCTATGTATCCTTTAAATGTTTTTATTCCTCTTCCTTTGGAGCATTTCATGTGAATTGGACCTGCATAGTCTACACCAACGTGTGAGAATGGAATTGACAACGACACTCGAAATTCTGGAAGATTTCCCATTATTTGTTTAGCTGCTTCCTTTCGGTAACGTATGCAGCGACTACAAGTTCGAATGTTTTTTTTTATGGAATTCTTTAATCCAATTATCCAATAATTCCTTCTAATCGTTGCTTCCATTAACTTATTTCCTCCATGTAAGGTTGTTTTATGAACATGTTCAATAATCAATTTTGACAAATGTGATTTATTTCATATTATTGGGTGCTTCTGATCGAACTGAAGCTTTGCATTCCCTAACCTACCTCCTACGCGAAGGATTCCATTGTTATCTAAAATTGGATCTAAGCTTGCAATTTTACTTGTACTGCTAATTTCTTTTTTGATTTCTAAGCTCTTTTTTTCCTCTCTAAATTGTAATCTTTGCTGATATCTTATTATTCTCTGCTCAGCTTCTTTTAGTTCTGATTTTACTAAGTACGCAGGATATTTTTGTCCTCGTATTCTTTTTACAAATCGCAATATATAAGCTACAACCCTTATTAATTTGGTTAAACTAGAATATTTTAATATTACCTCATCTAAGAAATGTGATTCTTTTGATGTTGTGACATACACTGCATCGATTTTAACGCTATTCTGTGTTGGCCATTGATGTTCTTCTCCTTGTAACCATTTGGGACCTCTCCAACATAGCTCGTGCTCCACTAGTTTGTTCGCAAATACTCCTCTGGATGCTACATCAGCTGGATTGTCCTTTGTTCCAACGTGTTGCCATATTGCAGTGGAAGCATATAATTTGATTTCTTCTACTCTCGTTTTAATGAACTTATCTTTACTTCGGGAATTCTTTATCCATGCTAACGTTATAGATGAGTCGCTCCAAGCAAATATTTTAACTTCTCTATTGATAACTGTCTTTATCCTTTGCAGCAATTTAGAAAGTAGGTGAGCCGCGCATAGCTCCAGTTTTGGCAATGTCTTCTTATTTTTAATCGGGTTCACTTTGGTTTTACCAGCAATTATCGTTATAACTGATCCAACTTTAGCATATACAACTGCCGCGTACGCTTTTTCTGACGCATCTGCGAATCCATGTAGTTCAATTTTAAAGCCGTTTTTTGTTTCAAACCATCTGGGAATTTTTATTCTTTTTGTCGCTGGTACGTGCTGCATAAACTCCTGCCATTCTTTTGCCAAATTTTCGTCGAGTAACTCATCCCAGTTGAGTTTCATCAACCAAAGTTTTTGTATAAACAACTTTGCTAAAACAGTCATTGGTGAAAGCCACCCCATCGGATTGAAAATTCTCGCCAAATCAGATAAAGCTTGCCTTTTTGTTACTAGCTTTTCCGTTGAAAGATTCATATTAAATCCAAACATGTCTTTGGCCGGGTCCCATTGTATACCCAATGTCTTAACTGTTTCGTCTTCTGCTATTTTTATTACCTCATTTTCGCTATTTGTTGGAATTGTTGCTATAATCTCACTGTTATTAGACATCCACTTTCTTAAGTGAAATCCATATTTTTGTAGTTGTTTCGAAATTTCGAACTGAATGACCTTACATTCATTTATTGAATCTGCTCCTGTCATTAAATCGTCCATGTAGAAGTCGTTTTTAATGATGTTTGAAAGCAAATAATTGTAAGGCTCGCAGGATTTGGCAATTTCTTGTAAAGTTCTCGTTGCAAGAAAAGGAGCGGATGCTGTTCCATACGTAACTGTTTGCAGTTTGTATTCTCCTTTCGGCCCTTCTTTCGCTTCTCTCCACAATATACGTTGATAATCTTGATCACTTTCTGCTACTTTAATTTGTCGATACATCTTTTCAATATCACCTGTTAACACATAATGCCAAAGTCTCCATTTGAAAATTATGTCAAATATATCTTTTTGAAGTCTCGGGCCTATTAAAAGGATGTCATTTAAACTACTTCCATTTGTAGTTTTTGCAGATGCATCGAAAACTACTCGTAGTTTAGTTGTGAGACTGCCTTCTCGAATTACGGCTTGATGTGGCAAATAGTATTTTCCGCAATTATTTCCTCTTGCTTTTTTCATGTGGCCCATTTCTAAATAGTCTCTCATAAACTGCACATCTTGTTTTCTTAGGTTGTCATCTGAAGCCAACTTTTTCTCAAGATTAAGAAACCTCGCCATTGCTTGTTTGCGAGAGTCGCCTTACTCTTTTTCTTTCTTAAAAGGTAGATTGACGTCAAATCTATTATTTTCATCTCTTGTTGTCGTTTTATCAAATATCTTCATACATTCATCATCATCTTCTATATATGTTGGTGCTGTGGTGTCTTCTATTTCCCAAAACTTCTCCAACGTTGTGGCCACCGCCGCTAGAATTCTACCATTTTTTCTCGGTTGTTGTAAAACTCCCGACAATATCCATCCTAATTTCATAGCTTGGCCTAGTATTCGATCTTTCTTAAATATGCCTTCTTCTAATATGTCAGCATATACATCACCTCCAATAACGACGTCGATTCGATCTGACCTATTGAAGTTGGGATCAGCTAAGGTATAGTTTCTCCATTGTTCTATATCCCATTTAAATGTTTTATCAGGTTGTGCACTCGCCAATTTCGGCAAAATCAGTGCTTCGACATTGTACACTTCGTTGCTTAGGAATCTCGGCCTGATTTCAATGTTGACTTTAAATTTGGAGACTCCCACTGTAGTATTTCCTAGCCCTTGTAGCTCAGTTACTTCTCTTCTCTTTGGTAAGTGTAGTGTTTGAGCGGCTTCTTCAGAAATGGTAGTCTTCTGTGATCCTTGATCGATTAGTGCTCGCAATGTCACGTACTCTCCATTTGCCGCCTTCACTCTTATCTGGGCTGTTGCTAGAAGTATTGCTGTTTCGGAGTTTTTAGTCATCATAGTGGATGATTTTTTTATAGCATTTTCTTCACCTGCTCCTTTTTCCTTCTGGAATTCATTGTAATGCAGTAAATTATGATGATTTCTTCCACACTTACTGCATTTTTTCTTATTCTTGCAATTGCCTTCATATACGTGGTCGAGGCAAATATTGCATAGCTTATTGTTTACTATGAAACCTCTACGATTCATCGTAGTCAATGCCTGGAACCTTCTGCATTCAAAAATTTGATGCCCAGGAATCTTGCAATATATACAGGTCTTTTGTACAGCTGTATAGAATGTGGGTGCTCGTTGTGGCTGCTTTTGATTGCTCCATTTAGTTGTTTTCCTGTCTCGTAAAGCTTCTAGAGCTTGATATTGCTGCTCCAGGAAACGGAAAACATCATCTAGGCTTTGGATATCCCTAGTTTTCTGACATTCTGCTCATATAACCGGAGACTTTCTTCGTCTAGTTTCCGAACAACTATCCGAGCTATAATTGCTTGCTCGTCATTTAAATTCAATTTAAGCCCTTTAAGAGCATAAATGCATTCCTTGGTGGTATGCAAAAGCTGCTTCATGCTTGCCGCACTTTCCCTATTTGCTGTTGGTTGATCAAGAAGTCTGTCCACTTGTGTTGTGAATTGCAGCTTTTTGTTTTCATATCTTTCCTGGAGGATTTGCCAAGCGGCTTCATAGTTGTATTCGGTTACCGGTAAATGCTGAATTAATCTTCCAGCTTCTCCTCCTAATGACGACTTCAGCCGGAACATCTTTTCTACTTCAGTAAAGTGCTTCGAATTATGCACCAAACCTTGGAAAAGATCGCTAAATGATGACCATTGATTCATCTCGCCATAAAATATCGGAATCTTAATCTCCTGTAGTTTCATAGTAGATGGCACAGCTTGTGTTGGCGTGCACCTTTTCAATTTATCTGTTAACTTCTCAATGTTAACGCTATATTTTTCTCGGAAGTCCTCCATTTGTTCTTCTATTGAGTCTTTAGTAATGGCTTTTAAATGGACACTGCGAGTTTCAGAAAAAGCTTCATATTCAAACTGTATTTGAAGCTTAGTTTTGAATTCTCTTATTTCTCCGACAGAATCCAATTCATTTTGTTGAATTTCTTCTATGGTCATTCTGAGCTTTTT